GATTAATCACATTCGTTGGGACTGGCACAATTGTGGATAAGTAATCAGTACAGATAATTGGGACATTTGCAAAATACAAATTGGTTACCAAGTCCACTGAAAAAAATTGTTCTATTATGAGCTAGACCTGTAGTTTTACAATACTACCACACTGTGCCAACCCTTTTCTCTACTTTTCATTCTCTCTCTCCATGCCTTGCTTTCATTCTGCATTTTTTTTTGCTTTGCTCTCTTTTCCTATCTCTCTCTCTCTCTCTCTCTTCCGCTCTCTCTGACTTGTTTCTCTCAGTTCTTTTGCTCACAATCGCTTTTGCTCTCTTGGTTTAACCTCGCATCTGAGGGAAGACAATGCGGCACTATATTGGAGCGTCAGCCTAGACATGGGTAGCTCCTGACATGGGGCTTGAGACCACGATCTTCTGACTCAGAGACAAGCGTGCTCCAAACTGAGCCAGGCTGACACCTGAAGTAATATCTTATTTTAAAAGTGACAGAATTGACCTGGTGCCATTAGAGTGAACAAACATCTCCCAAATGGACGTTCATAAGTTCCCAGGCTCTTGAGTACGAGTGCTTGAGTGCTTGAATTTTCAGAAGAGAATATTTTGATAAATGTTGGTCTGTGTGCTTCATCTATTTCAACAAAAAAAGAGGGGAAACCTAAGGCACTGTGTTATAAGTATACTACTTGTTCACAGATTGGTTGTTCAGTGCAATTCATATGTAGCTCCACTGTCCTTCACAACACAGTGTTGGGATAGTCGAAAGAACAGCATTGCATGGGTGCAAATTGTCCATAAGAGGGTCAACTCTTGAAGGACCAGCCATTGACATCTCCTGGGCCACAGAACTATGAAAAAAAGCCTTAAACTGAACATTCAATCTCACACCCCAACTGAGAACAAGCTAGCACTTCACAGTGACCCAGTGCAAGTACTCCAAATACTTTGCAAAGATAGCAGCTTTGTGCAGATATTTCAACACATAGAGGTAAACGTAAACTGTTAGTCAGCTCGACCCTGCACTAAATCCTTTTTCACACAACAGTGATGTGATCATAAGGAAATCTGCTCAGAGTTTATGCACATGATTCAGTGACGTGTGAGAACAATTAAACTCCTAATTTGTGTAGCCAGTAGCCAGTGTCTGGGAAGGTGCTTGAATTAGATTGAGCAGTGCCTTAGTCATTGGCACTTCATTTGAATATGCAGCGGAAAGGAAAATGGTGCCACTGTAAACTGCAGCAGACCACATTTCTTCATTCTTTGTAGTGGGAACTCAAAAGATTCTATTTTCCTTCCACTTCAAAACTGTGCTACAAGTCAAATTTGTTTTTCCTTTAACATATAATGCATTATAAAGTCTGCAAAATCAGTGGTCGTGGGGAATCCCATTGTTTTATTTGAATACCAGAAGGCATTTAGGAAACTGCTGTCAAATTCTGACCGCATTTTATTACTAACATCTCAAAGTAGCTTGTTTTTGTCCTTAAGCTGTGAGACTTTTCTGTGTTTTTTTTGTTCTCCTTCAAGATGTGGGACATTTGTAATGTAATAGCAAATTTGATGTTGTGATACCTCCTGTTCTTTAAATGTGAAGCACTCCGAGATATCACCTCATATGAAGCGGCGCTATATAAATACAAGCTGCTGTTGTCTTTGTCTCACGATAATGTCCTTTGGTAGCAAACTTGCATTGATCAGTTACCTGTCTATATTTACAGAAGTCGCTGGGAACACTCAGCAGTTCAGGCAGCATCTATAGAGAGAGGAAAGTGAGTTAATGTTTCAGGTCAATGATCTTTTGCCAGTTCTGACGAAAGGTCATTGACCTGAAGCGTTAACTCACTTTCCTCTCTCCATAGATGCTACCTGACCTGCTGAGTTTTCCCAGTGACTTCTGTTTTTTTTTCAGATTTCCAGCATCTGCTGCATTTTGCCTTTTGTTCACCCGTCCATATTTAGTTTGCTTGTTTTTTCTCTATTAATTTTTCTCCCAGTCCCACGTGAATCAAATTACTAGAAAAAATCTGGATGCCAGAAATAGGGCTGGAAACAGAAGGTGTAAAAAGTTGAATAGTGGTTGCTGATGAAAGGCATTTATGCTTTTGTCAACTTACAAATGTTTTCCAAATATGAATTTGTGAACTGTTGAGTTTCTTCCTCTAGAAAGTTGCCATCTTGCTTTTGTACATCTGTAAAAGTGGAACCTCATTTATCCGTCACAGTGGAAAGGGACATTCCTTTCCCCAACCCAAACAGATAGTTGAGAGGGCAGATGGAGGAGGTTGCGCTGGGCACTGAATGACTAAAGGCAGGCGAGATTGTGACCAAGCGGATCTCTCCACTTTCCCAACATTGGTCGATAATTGGAAGATTGGGTTATCAAGGTTCTCGTGCACCAATGCAACTGGTAGCATTTAAATTTCCATGTTGTTCAAGCTCCTGATCACATTTCACAAGATAATAATCCTAATAATAATAATTCTAATAATAATCCTTGCATTTGACAGAATATACAGTAAAGTGAATTGGCCGTATATATGTGGGCAATTGCGCACAGCAGTGCCTCCAAACAGTCATGGATAGAAAATTACCAATTTATTATTGTTTTGTTTTGGAGGGATTATTATTAGGCGTGTGGAGTAAGGAAACTTACCCAAGGTTTCGCCCTGCCTGGAATTGAAACCAGGTGTCTAGCTTGCAAGGCAAGTGCTCTAACCACTGAGCTACAGGACTCCAATTAAAATGACTGGAAAAGGAGTGAATGAAAAGATCACAAGGTTGGTTCGAATGAAGAAGGCCCTTCAGCCCATCTGATCCCATCCCTCCAGAATACCCACCCAACTGACTCCCGTCACAACATCAAGCTGCTTTTTAAATGGAAAAGCTGTTTTCTTTTGCATTATCATTCACTTGACCCTTCCTACATTTTTTCTAAAAATATAAATGGAAGTGGTCAACAAAGGTTTTGAAATTAAGTCTGGTGTTTCCGTGTGTGCGTATGTGTGTGTGTGCGTACGTGTTTGTTTATCTGTTCACATGTGCTTTACGTTAGACTGCACATCCTCTACTCAGGCTAAAGAATTTTTTTTAAAAAAGGACTACCCAAAAGCTATTGTAGTCTGCAGTTGGTGTAAAAGTAATCATTAACAGATGACCGTACCAAGAAAGGGAAGGTATTCTAATATATAATTGTAATGTGTCTACCTGGTGATGAGTGGCGATTCCAAAGTCATTCCTTTTAGCTTGCGTACAATGAACTTTTGTCTCTGGTCCTATTTTTCATGCATTATTATTTCTATGTGTTTTCGATCACAGAGATTAGGTAAACATCAACATTTATAGTTTCTGACAAGTTTGGGGACTCATTTATATTGCTTTACTGTCAATGTGAAGTTTAATTAGACTTGGCACCAAATGCCACTCAACATGTGAAACCCATAGGGCAGATCCGAGGTGGGTGCTCAAAATGTTTTATTCGATTGCAAATCACAGGCTGTAGATAATACAGGTTTGAGCACAGTTTTTTTAGCATTTTGGAGAAATAAATGTTTGAGGGCAACTGTTACGGTAAGCAAACAGTAATTCTGTTAATTGAATCCTATTCATATGTTCTGTTTGGAACGTGAATGGAAAAATACAGTCATTACAACTTACAGTGAATCCTATGAAGTACTTTGAGACATCCACCAGATGTAAAAGGTGCTATGTCGAGTGGAAGGATTATCATTGTAAAAACATTTCAAAATACTCAGTAAATTTCAAACTAGCAGTGCATTGTGTAGGGTTGAACATTGAATAAGATTGGGTGCTGTTGCCCTGCATAAAATAATCCATAATCCTTTATTTCACACTTCGTATTACATTTTATGTCAATTTGCAGCTTTGAGATTGAGACTTCCTCAAAAGAATGTTTGATTTGCTTTTAACATGACTTTTCTGTTCCAGTCCATTGAAGCCTCGGTGAGCAGCAAGTGACCTGCCAGTGAGCTTTGAGGCTGTCACTGTGAATCTTTAATATTTTCTGTACTGGATAGACATAGACAGACTGGTAAAATGGGCAGACGCGTGGCAGATGAAGTTTAATGCGGAGAAATGCAAAGTGATGCATTTTGGGAGGAAGAATGAGGAGAGGCGATATAAGTTAGATGGTAGGATCTTAAAGGGGGTGAAGGAACAGAGCGACCTGGTGTTTCATAAAAGTAAATCTTTGAAGGTGGCAAGACAGGTAGATAAAGCTGTTAAAAAACCATATAGGTTACTAGGCTTTATAAATAGGGGTATAGAATACAAAAGTCAGGAACTTATGATGGACCTTTATAACACATTGGTTAGGCCTCACCTAGAGTACTGTGTTCAGTTTTGGGCACCACAGTTTAGGAAGGATATTAAGGCATTCGAGAGGGTGCAATGGAGATTTACCAGGATGGTACCAGGAATGAGGGACTTCAGTTATCAGGAGAGGCTAGAGAAGCTGGGATTATTCTCTTTGGAGCACAGAAGGTTAAGAGGAGACTTAATAGAAGTTTTCAAAATTATGAGGGGATTCGATAGGGTGAACAAGAAGAAACTATTTCCACTAGTGGGTGGGTCGGCAACCTGAGGGCACAGATTTAAAATAGTTGTTAAAAGAAACAGAGGGGAGGTGAGGAGAAATTTTTTCACACAGTGAGTTGTTTGGATCTGGAATGCATTGCCTGAAAGGGTGGTGGAAGCCGATTTGATAACAACTTTTAAGAGAGAAGTAGATAATTATTTGGGGAGGACAAGTTTGCAGGGCTATGGGGAGAGAGCGGGGGAGTGGGATTGATTTGGACAGCTCTTTTCAAATTCTATGATTCTGTGTTTATATTTTAAAACTGTACTACATGTTCGCCCACAAAACACAGAGTTTACCCTGTGAAGCACTTCGGGACATCCGTCTGACATGAAAGGTAAAACCAAATGTAAGCTTTATTTTTATTTTCATTATTGCTGAAATGTTGCCCTGTCTTCTAGGATTGAAGCCAAACACCAGGAATTGCGGGAGAGGCAGGCGAGGGAACGGTCAGAGCAACAAGCAGTCCCGAGCCTCTCCATCCCTAACATTGAAGACGATGACATGGACCCCAACTACGCCAGGGTCAACCACTTCCGGGAACCGCCTCCACCAGCCGCCAGCTTCCAGCCTCCTTCCCCACAGCTGAATACAATAAACCTGCCTCGGGACTTGGCCATAGAACAGGAGAACCTGGAAGGACTTTATGCCAAGGTTAACAAGCAGCGGCTTCCACCTCCTGACAGGTAATGTGGACATTTCCCCTTGACGTCGCCAGGTTACTTATTCTTTAAATCTGTTCACCTTCACAATCCACTTACCCTGGAGTCCTGTAGCTCAGTGGTTAGAGCACTTGCCTGGTAAGTGAGAGACCTGGGTTCAATTCCAGCAGGGTGAAACCTTGGGCAAGTTTCCTTATTCCACACACCTGATAATAATCCCTCAAGAAAGAAAAATAATAATAATTTGGTTACTCAATCCATGACTATTTGTGGGACACTGCTGTGCGCAATTGGCTGCCGCGTTTCACCCACAAAATTTACAGTCGATTCACTTTACAGTGTATTCTGTGAAGCGCTTTGAGATGTCTGGAAGACGTGAAAAGTGCTATATCAAATGCAAGGATTATTATTATTATTAGATGTTACAGGTGAAAGTAAGGCCGAGGTGTTGTGTGTAATTACAAAGTAGTCTCATTGCCAGAAGAGCTTTCAAAAATCTACCTATTACAAAGAGTTGTGATTGAACTTTTTTTATGTATATTTCAATCTTTCTACCCTTTACGTTTTTCTACCTGTCATCTCCTAGTGGTCGTGGCTTGTGTTGAGCTAGCTGATTCAGCACTGGTTAGCAGCATCACTGGTGCCAGGAAATAGGAAAAATAAGGCATGGTTCTTATTATTTAACCCTATGCACTCTTTAGCATGCCCACATGTAAACGTCAGGCGAGGACAGAATCAGTGCTTTGCTGTGATGTGTCTGTGGTGGAATCGATCAATATTCCCTATGCAGATATCGGTTGAAAAATTACAATTGGTCAGTTAGTAGCTATAGAAGTACAAGTCACTATCTTCAATAGCAGAGAGGAAAAGGCAAAGAGGGCTGAAGCTCCATATTACAACAACAACAACAACAACAAGATTCCATTTATAAAGCGCCTTTCACGTCAGGAGGACGTCCCAAGGCGCTGCACAGTTGGGTCATGACCCGAGCAGGGGGGAAATGGTCAGGGTGAGGGGAGGGGAGGGAGGGAGCGAGGAGGGGGAAGAGAGTCGAGAGGGGAGCTGAAGGCACGGTCAAAGAGAAAGGTTTTGAGACCGGCCTTGAAGGAGGAAAGGGAGGAAGCAAGGCGAAGGCACTGGGGGATGGAGTTCCAGAGCCTGGGGGCTGAGAGGCTGAAGGCCCGACCACCGATAGTAGGGCGGTTGGGGCGGGGGACGTGGAGCAGACCAGAGCCGGAGGAACGGAGGGTACGGGCAGGTAGGTAGGGGGATAGTAGGTTGGAGAGGTAGGAGGGAGCAAGGCCGTGAATGGCCTTGTAGGTGAGGATGAGGATCTTGAAATCAATCCTCTGGGGGATGGGGAGCCAGTGGAGGCGAGCGAGGGTGGGAGTGATGTGGTCCCGAAGCCTGGTGCGGGACAGTACACGAGCTGCAGAGTTCTGAATGACCTGCAGCTTGTGGAGGGAGGTGGCGGGAAGGCCGGCGAGGAGAGAGTTCCCATAGTCCAGCCTTGAGGTGACAAAGGCGTGAACCAGGGTTTCAGCAGCGTGAGGGGTGAGGTAATGCCGTAGTCTGGCGATGTTCCGAAGGTGATGGAAGGCGGTGCCAGTTGTGGTGCGGATGTGAGGGAGAAAGGACAGCTCAGGGTCGAACAAAACGCAGAGGTTCCTGACTGGCTTTGAGAGGTGGAGAGTGCAGCCTTGGATGCTGATGGTGTCAGCGCCTGAGGTGCGGAGGCGCTGACGTGAGCCAATCAGGAGGGCCTCGGTTTTTCGCACGTTGAGCTGAAGAAAGTTGTCTCTCGTCCAGGACTCGATGTTGGACAGGCAGCTGTCAGGACATCGGTGGTCGTGGAGTTGAGAGTAGAGGAGGAAAGGTAGAGTTGGGTGTCATCCGCATACATGTGGAAGTTAACTCCATGTCTGCGGATGATGTTACTGAGGTGATAGAAAACTAACTTATCTGCAGGAACTTATAAATTGGATTGTGCTTTTGGCCAACTTCCCCCCCCCCCACGCCAGTTTCTCCAGGTTCAGGCTCGCATTCAGCTGTGTGAAATGCTTTGAGATGTCCTCCTGACATGAATGAAAGGTATTGTATAAATGTGGATTGCCATTTTAGACTTGGATCCCTGCAGCCCAATTGTAAAGCTCAATGGCTGGTTTTGCATGTAGGTCCAGTCTGTATTGCAGGGCACTGCATAGCCACTTGAGATGGAATTGAATTCCCCAACAGATGCACTTCACAAATGCACGTAATTGTTCCAAAGTCACAAGTCATGCTGCGAAACAGAATTGCCTCCTGTATGAGGCAATACCCAGCTATTTGGGGAAGTGCTGTTGACTGGCATGGTGGGTGGGGGGTGGCTGGAGAGAAAGATCACTTCTCTACATTTTGCTGCCAAAAGAAGGCTGGCACCTTTTTCCAGAACTTTTGCAATGGAAATACAGCAACATTTTTGGAACATCCTTTGGGACATCCTCCCGACATGAAAAGCGCTATATCAAATGCAAGGATTATTATTATTATTATTTGTTGTCACAAGTTCTTCTTATTGCTCACTCTACTTGATATCGAGGCTTAAAATGCTGACTTTGAAACTTCTGTTCTGGTTCAGTGTTCATTTGCTACTTCTTTCTCTGCCCTCCTTCCCCCTGTAGATCCTGGTCATTCTGATCTTGGCATTGCCTGATCTGAATCTGAGGTCACTCAAGCATTACTTTTTCTCATTTTGACTGTCACTTCACTTCTCCTTACTTCCAAGCATGCAGGACTTGAGCAGCGAAGCATTGGTGTGGCACAAATCTCCAGGATTGATGTTGACCCTACCAGTATAGCTATTTGACAGCTCAGTACATTTCATCACCCACATGACACTTTCCACACCTAAGAATCTGTAGGAGTGTTGTGACCTTTGATCTGGCTCTGTTTGTTTTCACAAGCTGACTTGAGCTACAAGGGGTAGAAAAAATTGTATCCTGATAAATCCATAACTCATTTGCGAAGAAATGTTGGGCTTAGACCAGGACTAAGTAGCATTGGGTTCTCTGTGGACATCTTAATCAGATTTTTTTTAATATTTAGATGTATGTTTACGTAATGATTTGTGTCTTAACTAAATCTAAATTAAGTGACCTGTGGGGCTCGATGAATATTCTGTGAGTTTGCACGAATAACCTTTGGCATTCAGTGAGTGTTCCACCAGATCTGGAATTAGGTCTGTGGTAGGGTAGTAATAATAATCCTTACATTTGATGCAGCACCTTTCAGGTCGGGAGGATGCCTCAAAATGTCTCAGGATAAACTGTAAAGTGCAGTGACTCTATTTTTTAGGCCAATGTGGTAGCAATTTGCGTACAGCCATGTCCCACAAACAGCCAGTGAAGTAGTTTCTGCTTGTGGAAGAAGTGGGGTTGATTGGCCAAATGCCTTTTTTTGTTTCATGTTTACTTATCAAGGATAGAATAACGGCTGGGGTTGACTTACATTTTCAATTTTCACTGTGGAGATGTTCACGGCTATGGATAGGTACAGTGGCTTTGCTCCGTTTCCCCCCACAGGCAATGTATTAAATAAATGCAATCCATAAAAGGCAAATAAGAAGGACGTTCTTCCGACGTGAGAGTCCCTATATAAATGTCATTTTGTTGTTGTTGTTCTGTTAGTTTTCCAAATTCTGAGAAGATATTCCAAGTAATTCACACCCAGTTGTCAGAGCACTTTGACTGTAGTACAGCACATTCCACAGCATTGTTATTACTGTACCAATCGTTCCCATTATTAGGGCTACAGCCACTAAGTGTTGCCGTTCGGTTTTGTGTCATGTGACAGGAAGAATGTGTTTATTGCAGGAATATGTGTGGTCTTCTCCCTTGAAAGGACCAGATCGTTATCCTGAAAAGTGATATTGTGTGGTGTTCCAGGAAATGTGTATGAAAGGCATCTTTGCTGGGCTGGCAGTGATCAGTGAGCCGAGCAATGAAAACAAATCACAAGGCAGCTTTTTATGCTTGGATCAGGTTTAAACACTTTGGTGTTATTCCTGGATAAGAAATTCAATGCAGTGAGGAAGTGTCTGGAATTCTTTATAATGACAATGGATAAGAAGACATTAGATTTGCTTTAATTCCATTACATGAGAATGAACGAAAAGCAAGTTAGTCTCTATAAGAATTCAAAGTAATGGGACGGAATTGGTCCATTGCAGTTTTGTACTAGAATCATAGGATTGCTGCACGTGGTTTTACATATCAATACTTTTACCTTCAAATTCTTGAAATTCATTTTAGTTTAACTGAGTGAGATGTAGTATATAAAGTGCAAATCGAAGCGAAGTGAAATCCATTCATGGTTTTGATTACTCATCTCATTCACATTGCAAAGATCCCATAGCACCACTCAAAGAAAAGTGAGTTTCTCCTGCTGCCCTGGCCAACAGTCTCCCAGATAAACTTGGTCATTCACTTCATGGCTGTGTGCAAATTGGCTGCCGCGATTGACTACAAACACACTAAGTCACTTGCACGGTACAGTAAATCCAGTGAAGCACTTTGTGATGTTTTGACAATATGAAAAGGGAAATGCAAGGACTATTTTTATTAGTACAGAGTACTTGATTGCTGGTTCTAATACAGCATTCTCCAAGAAATCTAACCAAGGCTGCTGGTGCTAGGGTCCTGCTGACTACTCTGTGGGGCAGAATCCACAGGATTGGCAGCAGCACAAATGTAACTGCAGGCAGTTTTTCTATGGTATTAATTTAATTTACGTCTGTGATCCTTTTGCAATCTCTGGGAAAGATCCATAAGGACCAGCAATGTCAAACCTGGCAAGAAAAGCATGATGATCAGCAGTCCAATGGGGAAGGGGTTGTGTATCCCACTGCGGGCTGCTGTGACGCTCAGAAGATGGAATGCTTCACCAAAATGTACAATATTCTCCGAAGGTTGTATCGATGCTTCTGAAGGCAGCGTAGTCATCAATGGAACAACTGCAGTAAAAACCCAGTATTGGTCAATGATTTA